GATCTTCCCCATACCTGCTTCATGCCCAGGAGGATGGGGCTATGGCCCCCCCACACCCTCTAGCAGATCATTACACGAAGGAACCTTTTAAATACATGCTCACAGGTGTACACACGGGTGCTCACACACACAAATTACACCCTTTTTGGCTCCTACCTCAAAGCACACTGTGTGCTGTCGGTCCTGCATGCTGCACAACAACATTCAATATTTAGTATTTACTGTTATATTTGCATAGGTCATCGCAATGATGTTGTTTATTATATTGCTCTTTTTTTTGCTTGTTTTCTCTTTTTTCTTTCTCAACAGGTGATTGATATTTGTATTTTTTGTCTGTTTGTTTTGTTGGTTTTTGTTTTTTGCCCTTTATCACCGTTCCTCTTCCCCGCTATTTTTCTTTCCCTCTTTCTTTCCCTTTTCTTTTCCCCAGTCAAGTCTGTCCCATGTTTAACAAGTGAAAATAAAATAAAATAATCAATTAAAGCAAAGGTGAATCAAATAGACCAATACGGCAAGGCTGGGATGGTCTATTTGGTGAGAAAGAAAAAAAAAAAAGAAAAGACGAGAGGGGATTATGTCAAAGTGACACATAGAGGGGTTAAGTTGGGAGACTATATCGGGCAGAGTGCTCACTGAAAAAGGCTCAAAGTGATCAAACACAACTGAGGAAATCAGGGGAACAGAGGGATCATAACCTGGAGGAGAGATATGAGACCTGATAGTATCAACCTTATCGACAGAAAAACATCTTTCCGCTTTTCTGCACGTCCTTCTGACAGCCCGAGTGACATAATTTAACCAAGGATCATTTTAGACCTATTAAACTTGTTTTATTTAAAAGGAGCAACAATATCAAGAACATTTGAACAAATGGTATTGAACAAAGTGAGCAAATGATCAGCATGCGGCTTAAGGGAACAATTGTCCAAGGAAGGGACACCAATATTCTGATAAACAGCCGAGAAATGTCCAGCAGTAGCAGGAGTTATGATGCAGAATTCATGCGCAGGTAAAAGAGGTTTAACTGGAGGACATGGCACCGAAATCTGGATGATAACAGGCATGTGATCAGAAAAGTGATAACTAACAAACTAACTAAGATGCTATCTTAGCATCTACTATCTATAAAATATATTATAGTTATATACAGTTATATTTGTTAGCACCTATTATAAAATACAAAATATTTGAAAACGGACCAGTTGCTCATTCACGTTATGACACTTCTTATGTTTTTACTATTTCTTTTTTCTTTCTCACAGCAATACAGGAGCAGATCAAATTACAAAAACAGCTGTAGATTTCTGGAAAAATGGAAAAGATCGAGAAGAGATGATGCTCAAAGATTTTGAAAGTTTCATTCCTCCTATAGTTTTCAACAGTGATCAAAGTGAGTGTATCCTTATGTCTTTATCATTCACCACTTACGATGATCATCTTCCTTACTGAAAATCTCTCTTTGTAGGCGGTTTTTCAAAGTCAACTTTGATTGACAGTTGTCTGCTTGATGTTTTCATCCCATTCCTGCCTCTGGAGTACAAACATGTTGTACAGTGTGCGATGGCTGCGATGAGAGACAAAGGTCTTCAGCCAGATGAAAATGTGGCAGACCAGGTGGCCAGAAGTTTAGTCTATCACCCCAAACTGGAGCGAGTATTTGCCACGAGTGGCTGCAAGACAGTAGCAAATAGGGTGCACTTATACAGATGAAGACTGATTCTACTCTGATTTCTACTGTATGTATGATTTTATTAACTCTAAACTAGACAACTCAAAAGTCAGCAAAGCATGTTACAGAAAACAAGATTTTCAAATAAAAATATGATGCCATTTTCTGTCTCATATTACATATATAAAGTTTTCCAAAATGTGTTGCAGAAATTTTTTATGCATACAAGAATGTTTTGATTCCACTTGACAGGAACTTTGGCGTACACGCAAAATAAAATCATCATGATTATAAGAAACATAGTACATCTTATATTTTTTAAATTGGGCTTTAATTTACTCAAGCACAAAAACACATATTTGCTTATATAAAAAGAGAAAAAAATAACATCTAAAATCATTGATTAGAAAGAAGTGAACAGAGTGAAGGCGCTTCAGCCTTTTATAAACGCAGGTGCACACAATCAGCCACTCGTTGCTCTTGGATTACCATGGGATCCCCAGGCAGCCAATCATCTGCGTGGCCTGTCACACTTCAATCTGCATACGAGAGGGAGGCACAGGACTCCAATTAACCAATTGTCAACGAGTCCTTGCACGCTTGGATTTGCTCGAAGCAAAAGGGGGTCTCACTCCCTCCGAGGCCCAGGGCTGTGACATGATGTTGTTGTAATGATTTGTCTTTAAGTTTACTTAAGCTTCCCTTGTATACTTTGTTTCTCTGCCATGTTTACTTTATGTTTTAAGTTGACAGTCTTTGTCTTTTGTGCCTTGTTTTTATTTTACTTTCTCAAATCTCATTATCTGATCTTGTTCAGCTGTGTGTAATTCTCAATGTCATGGTCCTGGGTGTGACCCAGTGTTTTGTGTTTAATTAATATTTCTTGATTATTTGTTATTCATGGTTTTAGTTGTTTTGAGGTTATATTGTGTTGCTCTAGCTCATAGTTTCAGTCAGTGTGCCTTCCCTGTGAACATGTTATATCTACTCTGTGCTTTTTTCCCGTCCCATGGTTCAATCCTCTGCCTCAGTGTAGAGTCCGCTTCTCTGTTTTATACTTCCTCTTTTATTTTGACAGTCTGTTTTTAGTCATTGGATTCTGCTTTGCTTTTTTTTGTCTTATTAAGTCTGATTACTCCCAGCTGTTTTCTCCTCCTGTGTCTCATTCCCTTGTTATCCCACTGTTTATATAAGCCCTGGGTTTTCCCTTATTCTTTGTTGTGTTGTACCCTCATTATGCCAAGTTGACAGATTCTGGTTTGTTTTCTTGTTGAAGTTTCTTGTTTCCTGTTTCTAGTTTAGTTTTGCATTTGATGTTAGTTTTTTCCAGCAATAAAAGCTGCCGTTTTGATTTTAATCCTCCGTCTTGAGTCCTGCTCCTTCGTCCTGCCTGCCACACACCCTGACACTTTAGTTATTGTCAGTCTTTCCTTATTGCCTACTGTGTGTATATAAATTAATTGTCTCCCATTTCTCCTTAGTCAGATCATCTGTGTCTTTGGCCTGAATTTCAACCCTGTGCTGTTCTCCTTATTCTGTAGTTTGCTTATTTTGCCTATTCATGTGTGCTTCTGGAGCTCAGGAAGATTTTGGAGTCATTTCTGAGTTTTCTTTGTGGATTTTTATGGACTTCAGTTTTTCACCTAAATAAAGACTGGTTTGTTTATTAGGTTATACACCTTGGGAGGTCCTTTTTGGCACAATTATAACATTTATAAGCAAACTGAACAAACACTATATCACATATAAACAGTCTTTTGGGGATTCAAGATGTTTTTCTGATCTTAATGTTCTTTTTCTTTTAGCTGCTCCCTTTAAGAGCATCACTCGAGTCATAAGAGATGCGTTTGACGACAAGCGCACACATACAAGTAGAGTTGTGGCGAGTCGAATAGGTACTAATGGAAAAGGGGCTTTAGTGCCAACTGTGCATTGTTTAAGTGCCACAGCCTTCATGAGTATTGTTGCTAAACATGTACAACACCTTATGACCACACGGCAGGTGCTTCCAGCATGGGACAAGTGGCCCCAGCCTGGTAAAAGCAAGATGTTCCTAATAAATTGTTTGGTGAGTGATTAGATCGTTTTAGTTGCATTAGTTCTGATGGTGAGAAGGTGAAACAAAGGTTCAGAGGTTACAGTAGATTTTATTATGACTGCTGCAGGTTTCATCCACTGGGGGGGTGAAGTCTGCACATCTAGAGACTGGAGAGCACTTCCTGCATGTGGAAAACTGACAATACAGTGTAAAGTATTAGTTCTACATTCATATACATTCAGCCTCTGAATTTAGACATAAACAGAGATGATTCACCTCCAGGTTTCTGCTTGTGTTGTTCTTTGTGTCTGACTGCCTCCTGGTGGTCAAACCTGTGGAGCGCAAATACAAAAGCTTTTTGTTTCTTTCCTTTTTCTGTTTAGTTAAAAGATTATTAATATTGAGCTAGAGAGCCACTCACCGTCAGTCTCCCTTATTCTGATCCATTTGTAGAAGAGCAACACAACAGCAGCAAACAGCACAGTGACACATGTGACCAGAGGCAGGACATGAGCTGAGCAGGTAAGAAGAGACAGAGGAGTAAAAGAAAACATCAGAAAAATTAAATGACTAATAATTAAATCATTATTTAAGTGAATACTTTACCCACTTAAATACCTTTTGATGTAGAATATATAGACAGTATATAAAGTTTATTTATGCTACTTCCAACCACGTCTGCCTTCAAAAATGTACTTTTAACAGCTTAAAAGTGAAAAATTAGCATTTTGTGTATATAGTCATGAATCTGTATATACAAGAGCAGTCAGATGAAAACTATTTTCAAGGACAAGAAAAATACAGGGAGTTCTTTTTGTGGTTTGTTCTCAACATGCTTATTTGTGCTTTCTCAGCTCCCAAGTCCAAGGCATCAACTTTATTTCACTCAGACCAGACAATAAAAACACTCCAGAGAGTCACAAGTCAAGCTTTCTGACTGACTCCTAAAATAAGGGTTTAAAAACTTGAAGTAATCTTTACATTTTGTTATAAATAACAAAATATTCTGTAGATATGAGAGAGGCAGCTGCGCACACTCGTACCTTTGAAACTAAGAGCCTGAGCTGTTTCGTCAGTCTGCTGCTGTTCAAGCTGCCTCAGTGTCTCAGGGAAAGTCTTCAAGGCTGTGAATAACAAAATAAACCAGTTTATTAATGTAGATGCATGATGCATGCAATACTTTATGACCAACAACTAAGTTTATTGATTTAAATATAATAATATGACATTTAAAAGATCAGCAGCTGTCTGTAATCTATAAAAAAAATGAAACAAGGGTTTTGGCAACACCCACCGTCGCCACCAATTACTGTATTTTTGGACCATAATATTTTTTATACATGTTACCCGGGAACACAATAAGCTAACATTTGCAGAAATCTTGATAATAAAAAGTAGAACCATTGATTTCTTAAACCATTACTTGGTTTAAGGCATGACTTAAGAATTAAGTGGGATTGTTCAGTGTCCATGTGAGGTCATTTTTCTTATTTGTGACCTTCACGTCTGAAACAAAGGCTCACATCAGACTTTAACAGTAAAAGGTTGGTTTTTTTTGTTTCGTTTTTTTTAACCTCATGTTAAAATTGTAAAGTTTTAATATTATCAATACTGGCTCAATATCGGATTGTAAAGTAAAACATGTCTTGACTGTTCTTGCAGGTAAATCTGCAGGTGCGGCACTTGTATTACACAAAACAGATGAAACGAAATGGTGAAAACTTTATGGCTGATCCATAAAAATGCAATGCATTGTGAGGATTATGACTGAGGATTTTTATTTGTCCTTGTTTATAAATGACGAAGAAACTCACCATCTATAACTCTGACTTCAAACTCCTGATATGAGTCTGGTAAGAGAGGCCGTTCCAAACCACACGAGTATCGTCCAGAGTCGGACTTTGTGAGCTCTGTGAAGCTCACATACAGAACTGTAGACGATACTGGAAAGGATCCCTCTTCATACTGGATGCTATATCGGCCCCTTTGAGCTGTGTCGCCTTCAGTTTCAATGAGAACGTCTCCTTCTTCGCATTTATCCTTACAGAGAAACTTTTTTCTTCCAGATAAGGAGAAGGAGCACTCCACTGTGATACTGTCTCCTTCTGTGTGGATGATTGTTTTTGCACTGATGAGCCCACTGCTACACAGCACTGTGGAAAACATACATAATGATAGTGATTACTGTTTTCTGTTAAACGTTAATTTTTGAACAGCATCAGGCTGAGAACGTTCAGCATATCTCTGATTTTGTTTAATTCACCTAGTTTATTACCGACAATCAAGATTTACGTCTGCATTCGTCTCTCTTTCATATAATTAACTCTATATTTATTAAATCTTACAGTGTGGAAATTGTACTCTGGGTTAAAAGGTCCAGTCAGTTACCTGCTAAGTTAAAATTTTAAAACTTTTTTCTTTTTAAGCTTATGTCATTCTCATTAAAAATGTTTCCCTTCTTTCTTTGCACAAGGTTTTACTAGTTCATCAAATTTTAATTTTTGGCTGGAAAATTGTCAAAATAATGTTTATAAATAAAAACATAAATTAAATAGCACTATGACAGAAAATAAAGGGAAATAAGTATTAATCATTATTAATTATTATTAAGTATTTGCGTGGTTTCCTTCCTTTTAGGATTGGGCCAGATAGGTTTAGATAGGGTTTTTTTTTTTACACTCCTTTTAGTTCTTACTAAATTAGGTTACAGAAATATAGTAATACAGATGCATATGATTAATACTGGAACACTGAAATGCACAATAAAGTAAAGCACCTGAGTGAACTTATAGCTGCTTTAAACTGCTTGAATCAATATGATGAGAAGGACAATGAGTTCTCACCTGAGAAGAAGAAGGACCAGTCGAAGAGGAGACAGTGGATGTTCATTCTGAAGTTAATTCAGTAGGAGAATAAACTGCAGGAGATCACTTCACTGCTTCTAGTCTCTAAATATCTGAACAGTCGGGAAGCTGAAGCTACACACTTCAGTGTCTCGCTTCC